CTGCATTTGCAGGGCTCATTTACATGCTAAAATATACACTTCTTGGACCCGGTAAAACTGCATTTTAGCTTTGCTCTCAAATTATTGTATCTTCCTAAGGGAAATTTAGAATATTGTATGTGGTATTTGATACTGATCGAACAGATTAGCATTATATTGTTGTGAGACTAAAGCAAGTGTGTTTTATTTGCTTTATGGTATTTTAATTTTTACAACTGCTTATTGTTTCCTATCTCATTCACCGAAACAACAATCACGGTAAATAAAAAAAAAATACATGTGTATTGATGTAGCTTTTTTTCTTTTTTTTTAAAGGAGCAATCAAAAGGGGGAGATTTTTTAAATGCCTTGGTTAGTGGATCTTTATTTTTAGTCAACTTTAGAGCTGTTTAAAATCAAAGTGTTTCCCAACTGACCATGCCTTATCTGTCTGTCCCCATCCTTCTTTCTTTTCTGCTATCCCTAACTGGATGGGACTGATGGGAACAACATGTCTCTTCAGGAGCTGGACGAGGTATTGTGTTTTGAATATTTCTGTATGTTAATAAAATTATGTCTTTTTTTTTTTTTTTGAAGTCTTTGGTCATATACAGAATACTAACAGAGCTGATACACGTTTTAGCGTTTCTTTTGACTACTCATAATTGCTGTGTTTATCAGTTTGATCTTCAGGATGTGTTAATATGTTTTCACCCCAGGTAAATTGGTGGCTTAGAGAAGAGTTTAAGGAACAATTATTTGCTACGCTTGGGAAAGTGTCTCAACTTGAGAAATAAATAGTAAAGGTTGAGTGAGCCTTTTCTTGAACTTATAAAAAGCCAGATCGTTTTTAGGATTGTGTGTATAACCCCCTGCTTTCTGCGAAGCGTGCTGCTTGCTTTCTGCGAAGCAAGGCTGCTCAGGTAGAGTGTGGAGGACATGGTGTCTGTCTGGCGAGAGCCCCAAGGAAGCGGGCTCACAACCTGGGGGCCTGCCGGGGAGGCTTCGCGGTCACGGTCACATGCCGGGGTGAGGCCGGCGACCCTCTGTGTGCTCGTCACTGCAGGGTCCCCTCTTTGCCCCCTTCCCTTCCCAGCAGCACACGTTCGGCCTTTTCAAGACTTAACTAGCAACTCACCGAGAAGACGGACAGGGTGCATGTTCCTAGCACTGTAGTCTAGAAGCGCTAATGAAAGGGTTGAGGCAAAAGGGGATTGAACTGTGGCTGTCAGTCTTGTGTCTCTCTGACCCATTTCCGCTGTGGAAGGATAAAAATATTTTTTCCTGAGGGTAGACCTTTTTAAAAGTAACAGAGAGGAGGTATTTTGGGGTTTTGTTTATTGCAATTCAGATAGGACCACCGAGGTGGGATTCGGGTGACTGTCTTCAGAACCAGTGGAGCTCCTAACTAGTAGATGAAGATCTACCTGTACGTTCTACAAGCTGTTTTAACTAGTCAGTGGTAGGAACAGATGGGGAACAACCTGCTGCATAGCCTTCGTCGAGAGCTGGTTAAAGAAACTGGATAGCATCTTGATTCCCTGTACCTCGAAGGGTGCGGTCCCTCCGTGGGGCCGCAGCCGACTGAGCCCCGGGACGCATCACCGAGTGGGAAGGAGCCTGATGCGAACTAGTGTGGAAGCTGTGGTTCCTGCTCTTCTGGGTTTTGTTTTTGGGAAGAGCAACTCCCATTTACGCTTGGGTGTGCTTAGAAATTTCTGAAGAGACAAAGTAGACAGTTAACAGTGGATCCCTTCCAGGAAAAGTCTGGGATGGAAGAGAAACTTCCTCTCTATCGCATACCCTTTTCTTAGGTTGGATATCTGGTTTTAAAACCTGTGCATACACTACTTCTGTCATTAAAAAACAACTAGTATTTGGGGCGCCCGGGTGGCTCAGTCGGTTGAGCGTCCGACTTCAGCTCAGGTCATGATCTCGCGGTCCATGGGTTCGAGCCCCGCGTCAGACTCTGTGCTGACAGCTCAGAGCCCGGAGCCTGCTTCGGGTTCTGTGTCCCCTCCACCCCCCACCCCCACCCCGCTCTCTGCCCCTCCCCTTCTCACACTCTGTCTCTAAAAAATGAATAAATGTTTAAAAAAATATATTAAAACAAAACAGAAAAAACCTAGTATTTAACAACAGCTGCCCTTAAGCGAGTAGCTCATTGATCCCGGTGTCTTGGCCTCCCTGCCAGCACTGGGCCCGGGCCGGGGCCCCAGCCCTGGAGAGCTAGGAAGTGACTGCAGCTCCCCGACAGTGGAGTTAAGCGTCTCTGGGGCACAGTGGACATGATGTGCCTGGGTTTGCCGACCAGACTCGAAAGGCATGAAGGCCTGGGGGCTGAGAGCGGAGGCCTTTCAGATTAGATGCAGCCCCTTCTTGAACAGTTGGGGGCTACGGCTCCCAGAAGGAAGTGTGAGGTGGGGGATAGATAACAAACCACAGAAGAACAGAAGTCAAAGAAACACTGGCCACTTTCCATGTGAGGAGCACATCTACAGTCATGTTACTTAGGGGTCTGCCCTGGGAGCCGAGTTCCAGTCTTGCCTCCCTCTTCAGAAACTGGCTACCCACAGTGAGAACCAGCAGCCCTTCTGCTTTTCTTCTTAGCTTCTGGGTGTTTAAAGGGGGGTCTCCACATCCTGTCACCAGAGACGCTGCCCGGAGGGCCACTTGGCCCCATGCGACTCCCGTGCCTCTGGGATCCTCTAGACTCAGTCAGCCTTCATTCTGGGTCCACGTGGCCACCTCGTCCTCGTGAGCACTTCACTTGGCCCTTCTTGTCCTCTGTCCAGGACCATTGTATCTTTTATGAAGTTAGCTTCCAGAATTGTGCGTGACCTGGGTTTTGTCTACTTCGTTCATTGCTTGTGTTTATTGTTGACCCAGCTAATTACAATGGCACATTCCTTACCATTCAGCTCCAGGTGCTGGGTTAGGAGCTGGGGGTGTTGGGGCTTGGTGTCTAGAGCCCTGCTTCACCACAACTGCCGCAGGGCTTGGGGTCGGTGTCTTCTGGGGATAGTGAGAGTGACACACGGGTTCTGGGCGTGAGTTAGAAGCCCACCCCTCTGGAGTTGAGGCCTGAGCAGAATTTCCTGACCGCATCCCTCGGGTCTCCCAGAGTGAAGCCATCTGGTGGCACCTTACAGGGTGCCCACGGTAGACTGTCATTCTGCCCAGATCAACTTGACAGTCTGCGCCCTGGGGATCCCGCTCTGCGTCTTTCTCCACAAGTAGCAACGGGGTGTCCCTAAGGAGGAAGCACACCCACCGTTTACTTTCTTACCCAGAGAAGTGTCTGGCCCTCTGCTTTGTTCCCTGCTCTCATCTACTTCTCTTCCTGTAACAAAGTCGTCTCCCAAGCTGTTGGGTCTTTAAAATTCATAATTGGACATAATAAAAAATTACAAGACGTAAGTGCCAAGCTCTCCAAGCACATAGCCTGGGCAGGGCACGGTGACATAGTAGGGACACGGGGGCCGCAGGCTGGGCCCGCTGGTCACCTGCTTGGAAAGTCTCTATCCAGGGGGGCGGGCTTAGTGTCCATGTTTGTACAACAGGGGGCAATCCTCTCCGAGGGCTTGTTGTTGGGGTACAGGGCTCCAATCAGTGGAAGGACAGCAGCGACAGCACAGGCCATCATTGCTGCCTGAGTTTTTAAGGGTGTGAACAATAGTTGAGAGAAAAGGAAAATCCGTGAAACCAGCAGCATTTATATCTGGGTGGTAGGATTCTCTGATTTTTGTTTTTGTCCTCTTTTCTTTTTGTATCTTTCTGTTATTTATTTTTCACACACTTAAAAAAAAGTGTCTCTTTTGGACATTTAGTGTCTCACAACCAGAAAAATTAGTCACTATTTAAATGATCACAGATTTAAAAATCAAACACACTGCAGTGCTGACACCCCCTGATTCTTTTTTATCCACGTGCTTTTTTTCTCCCTCAAAAACCTGAGATTTCTGAGGCGTAACCATCTGTGAGCAAAGTCCCCCAGCCATGTCGAGCCCAGCGAGTCGCGCTCGTGGTCTGACTTCATCATACACACCCCTGGGTTGTCTCACGTGGAGGCGAGAGCGGCCAGGCTGTGAGTTTCAGCGTCCCTTCAGGACTTGCTAAGTGCCCGCCGCCACAAACCGTCCAGAATTGTCAGTATTGTTTCTCGTTACCAATCCATTATGACGGGACTTAGTTTATTTTATTTGTGTTCAGATATGGGGTGGGGGGAGCATATGTCAGACTTTGCTAATCTCTGCGGAGGCTTTGCTGTGTCCTTAATCTTACAGGACACCAAATCAGCCTTCTTGTAAAGGCAGGGTTTCCAAAGAGTAGAAAGATTTGCGGCAGTCGGATTTATAAGAAGAGGATGCGTGTGCGTGCGTTCCTTCCGTAGATCAGGAACTTGCCCGTGCTGTCTGGTGCTCTTTAAGGGACAAGTGTCGGCATCTACAGTGGACCAAGGGCAAAGGTAACTGTAGGGAGACCAGCAAGGAGCCCTGTGGGCGTGCGGTTCTGAACATCTGTTGAAATTTTCCTGCATCGATGACCCCGGGTCCGGCGCACCCCCAAATCAGAGCCCCAGATCAAAGACAAGAATTCTGAAATTCTCCTCAGAATTTTTACTGATTTTTTTTTTTAAATTTAAAAAATACCGAAAAGTTTTTGTTTTTATTTCGGAAGCACAAGTTCATTTTAGAAAAGCTTTGTAGACCAGGATCATCATATATTCAGAGAGGGGACTAAGTTGAAACTCAGCAAGGGTAAGCAGGGAGAATAAAAAATCTGGCAGTTTTTTAAAAAGCCTGTCTTGACTGAAAGGGCAACTCGAAAACTGACAGGATCATCCTGGATCTTAAGAAAATAAGAGGGGCGCCTGGGTGGCGCAGTCGGTTAAGCGTCCGACTTCAGCCAGGTCACGATCTCGCGGTCCGTGAGTTCGAGCCCCGCATCAGGCTCTGGCTGATGGCTCAGAGCCTGGAGCCTGTTTCCGATTCTGTGTCTCCCTCTCTCTCTGCTCCTCCCCCGTTCATGCTCTGTCTCTCTCTGTCCCAAAAAAAAATAAACGTTGAAAAAAAAATTTTAAAAAAAAAGAAAATAAGAAAACCTGTTTTCAAATGTGAAGTGAGGTTGAAAGGGGGTGATTGTTTTGCATGTAACATAGATTTTGTTAATGTTCATATTGGTTTCTATTTCAAGTAGTTGACATTTCTCTTCAATTACGTTTTTCCCTTCTCAAAACGATGTGGGTTTTTTTTTTTTTCATTTTGAATTCATACTGGTAAAATAAAGGACACATTTCATCTGAGTACTGCTGAATTTCTTTATCAGGATGAGCTATGGCTATAGACTATATGAGGAAAGGGACAATTTTTCCAATATTTAAAGTTTGCAGCCCCAAAGACTGCATAGACTATCTTACTGGCAAAATCCTGATCCAATGTGGGGAAGCCAGGGCCAGCTTTTTGAGCTGGGATCTGTCACTTTCGGGTAGGGATCTCTTAATTAGCAAGCTTCCTCAGAGAAGCTTGAAAGAGAACGTGTTGGCCCCAGTTTTAACTTATACGCATTTGGGGGGGAGGGGGGGTGGACACAACTCTTGGGTAAAACCAGGTACCGCTTAAAAAAGGTGGGTCCACTTCAGCTGACTTCACTTGTGATTGAAGTTTCAGGAAAGTCGATTTGTTTCAGAAAAGTCGATACTGATTACTCCGCAGGTAAATTTAGATGAATACCACCTCTGTATCTTTTTTAGTTTAATGTATTTTTATAAACAGTAAAAACAGTACAAAAAAGGTCATGAGCTTAAAAGCCTACATAAAGTATTACTCTATTGAAAATGATATGCTAATGAAATTAGTATATAGATTATATAATAATAATCTAGATTAGATAATAAGCTGGCATCGAGGAAATTCTGTGACCCATGAAGAGGTACCTTAGCAGTTTTGGGGTTTGCTTTGTATAAACAGCTGGAGGTTTGAGTTCAGGTTCTGCTCCAGGAGACCCACAGCTCTGTGTCCCACACGAGTTGGCTGTGTGGTCTGTCCCTCCTGCCTTGGTCAGTATGTCCTGTGCAGAGTTGCATACCTTTCCGTGACTTCAGAGCAGGAGTTTGAGGAAGAAGCAGCTCGACTTCTCCCGGTCTGTTCCTGCTCTGTGTACGATGAGGTCTGAGCCCCGTTGCTGTACCCGCAGGTGGTCAGTGAGAGAGGCCGCTTTATGCTGAGACTCTTGTGCTCACTGGGAGCTGGTCCTCTCTCCCTGGTACGGTTTGGTGGGGGGTGGATCCAGGACTGTGTTTCGTGGTGGTGGTTCAGTCTGAGGGCTTGCTGTCCTGATTTGTTTTCTTAGCAAATTGCAATTCTATTTCACGGGCCTGCCAAAATGATGGGGGAGATGGGGCCTCTGGAGTCATTGGACCCAGTTTTAATCTGTCACATAATAGCTCTGTGACCTTGGGCAAGCTACTTAACTTTTCTGAGTTTCAATTTCCTCATTTATAGATTGGAATAACAGTTCCTAGCTCACCTAGTTTCCGTGAGGATTAAAACAATAAAAAGAATATAAGATTCCTATTGGTGAACTCTTGAAAACAAACAGGGTGGCTGTGGTTGAGAATTGCCACTTTATGGACCCAGCGCCCCAGATTGTGCAGGTCGGATGACACACAGTTTGTCCGTGACCCGAGATGACTCTGTGGTCCCGTAGGGTGCACGCGGTGGCGGAATGCTGGTGACTTAATCACGACTCAGAGACGCTCAGGGAGCAGTTACGAGGGTTCTGGTGTCTTCGGTGTGGTCATTGCACGCGGTGTGATCCGGGAACACACAGAATGTCCTAAGCCCGTGGGGGCAGGGCCTGGCAGGGGCGGGGGGGGGGGGGGGGGGGGGGGGGGGGGGGGGGGGCAGCTGCAAGATGCCAATTTGCTTGTAGGAATTTTTCTGTAAACTGTTTAGCATAGAAGAATTAGGATAGAAGAATTCTTTGAATGTAGGTTTTTGCTTATGTCACATTTTTTCCCTTTATCTGTTGATTTTTAAATTTTGTCTTGTTTCTTTATTAGAAAAGCAAACAAGTATTTGCTGAATGAATGAAAACATAACTTTAGGTACATGCAAGGAAGGGGGGGAGAGAAAAGCAACATAAATTCTTCACCCAGTTCCACAGTATGGTTTAGGGCATTTACAAAGTATTACCTGTAAAAGACTTTTATATTACTGTTTTCCATTATTTTTCAATCATCATTTGGATCTTTGGAAACTGGCATTTATAAATTCTGAACTCCGGAGGGCACCTCCAGATGGCTCTCAACCCGTTCACTGCCTCAAGGCAAGCCAGCAGCTTAACTCAGCCAGGCCCGGCCTTCCCTCCCCGGGTCTTCAAGGTTTTCGAAGCCAGTGTCTGAGACCCGGGAAAAGAACCAGAGCTCTGGGTATCATATCAAAATAAGTGAAAACACCGCGTGTGGACACTGAACTGAAGAAAGGAAGCGACAGGCAGACTTGCGTTGAGATTTTTGAGGATTGCTTTTGCATGGTGGGTGATTTGCTGATCATTTCGGGCAGTTCTTTGAGACATTTTAACACATGGTTAATGACCTTGTGACCAAGATGACTGGCTCAGTCCCATTTCCAAAATAAGCGAAACGTGTGTAAGTAAACCTTGCTCCTACTGAACATTTTGTGTGAGTTCCGTTTGTAGCCTCGTATTTTTTTTTTTTTTTTAACTTGTATCTGCTCGCATTAATTGTTGAGGTTCATGCCATCCTGTCCGTACGTAGTGCTAGTGATAAGAGGTCTTTCTGTTAAGGCTCTTCTGTTGATTTTTTTTATTACATTTCTATAGCCAGATCAAGTCCAATTCATGTTCACAAGTATGTCCAAGAAAATTAAGAACTGGTGCATGAAAAGATAGGAACACAATCCCAAATGCTAGCAGTACCAAACCAAGCTTATGATACAGGCAAGTGCACTTACTCCTACATTTCTTGGTCTTCTCAGGGAGTGACATTTAAAAGGGTGTGAGAGTGTGCTTATCAAAATGGAACCTGAGTAACTTTTTTCCCATGTCCCTTTATTTCCCTGTAGCTTGCCGACGACCGTATGGCTCTGGTGTCGGGCATTAGCTTAGATCCAGAAGCAGCAATCGGCGTGACAAAGCGGTCGCCCCCTAAGTGGGTGGACGGAGTGGACGAAGTAAGTGGAATGTTAGTTTCACGCGATCCTGTTTTTTTAAGTAATTGTATGACGCCGACACGTGTAAAGGTGCTTTTGCCGTAAGAAGCGTGACGACACGGTGAACGCAGGCACCTGGAAGTAATCCCGCCTTAGGGTCGCTCGCCTTACACCCCACCGGAAAAGGGGGTGTGAGCCGGTGGTTTGGGCTTCAGTGGGAGTGGCCTGGATTAGAGAGAGAGACTCAAGCACCATGTCATGAGCAGTGGGATTTGAACTTCGATAATCTGAATGCAAAGTCGCTCACGCGTCGGTGAGGCTACAAGTTGGCTGAAGCCCGGACCCTGTGCTCTAGAGTGTAGCTGATCGTCTCAGAGGCAGACAGATGCCTGGCAGGCGGCACTGCAGCTTTGGTGGTTTCATTTGCGTAGATACAGTACGATGTTGGCCGGATCAAACAGAAAATGAAGGAATTAGCCAGCCTTCACGACCAGCATTTAAACAGGCCCACCCTGGACGACAGCAGTGAGCAGGAACACGCCATTGAAATCACCGCCCAAGAGATCACTCAGGTGAGGGTGGGACTGGGTCCCCAGGCCGGAGTGGGCAGTTCCCGGCCCCCTCAGAGGCCGGAGCGTGGCACAGCTCTCAGATCGCACCTCCCTCCCCCAGAGTTACGCTTCCCAGCCCGCAGCCCACCAAGAGACTTGAGACCCCGGGCTCCCCCAGGTTATCAGCCTGTGTCTTAGACGAGTGGGGACTGTTTCCCCAGTTGTTGGTACCTGCCACCGTGAGCTGATTTAAAAATAAACTCAGAGCATTGCTGAGTTCAGTCACTTGATCTAGAGATGTATAACTTCTTATATTAGTGCTTACAAATTGTTCATGTTACAAAACGGTCCTCGTAATTGGAAAAGATTGGGAACTTGCGCTGCCCGAGGCTGGAGTGTATTAGCATCTTCGAGAAACTTAGCACCCTAGAAACATTCCTGGTAAAATGTTAAATTTGAGCAATTAAAAAAAGTGTGTATTTATTTGAGAGAGAGAGAGAGAGAGACACTGACTGAGCAGGAGAAGGACAGGGGGAGAGAGAGAGAGAGGGAGACACAGAATCCGCAGCAGGCTCCAGGCTCCGAGCTGTCAGCACAGAGCCCGACGTGGGGCTCAAACTCATGAAATCATGAGATCATGACCTGAGCCAAAAGCCAGACGCCCAACAGACTGAGACACCCAGGTGCCCCAAGTTTGAGTACTTTTTCAATAACCTGACCAGTGGGGAAGCCTTAGTGTTTACGTCGTGTACTTGTTTAAATCTCCTGGCGCTCAGAGGTTCCGGGTGCTGGGATGTGTGGGTCCTGGCTCTTGGCCGGGGTTCCGCGCCACGGCTCCCCTTTGCTCCCTCTGCCTCCCGGTGTTGTCGTCGGCAAAGCGGGAACAGTAACAGTAACTGCAGCAACTGCCGCCTCGGGGTGGTGGCGGGGGCTTGGGGAGAGGACCGTAGTCCCAGAGCGGTGCGTGGCCAGGCGACGGGCCGAGGGGGTGTGCGCCCCGCCCCGCCCCGCCCCGCCCACAGCATTTGGCCACGCCTGGGAGCCTCGGAGCCTCGGGTTGCTTTGGCCTGTGCGCCTTGGGTGACGCCGGCCTGTGCGAACAGAGCCTCTCCCGGCTCTCAGGCCCTCGAGCGCAGCGGCAGTGGCACTCAGGCCCCTCCTCCACGGCTCGCTGGGAGCCGTGGCCTCCTTCTCCCAGCTCTTCCACAGGTGCCAGCGGGCCGTGCAGGCTCTGCCCGGCCGGGCCCACAGGGCCCGTTCCGACCAGGAGGAGCGGCTCCTTCGCAACGTCGTGGCCTCCCTGGCCCAGGCCCTGCAGGAGCTGTCGGCCAGCTTCCGGCGCGCGCAGTCGGGCTACCTCAGACGTGAGTGTCCCCGGGAGTGATGGACGGGATTTCGAGGCATGAAAGTTCCAGCACTAGGACCGCTTTTTGTCTCCATCCTTCCTTTTGGCCGCTAGTTCTCCATTTCGTCCCGAGCCCCCCATCGC